TACCGTACATTGTAAATAAACATACTGTAGTAAATGTATGCAGACACCAAGATTGTCAAAAGACAGTATCCACTTTCTTGGAACGAACAGTGAGCCAGAGATGCAGTGCGGAGAGGCAAAAGGGAAGCATTGGCACAGTCTGTGGCCCCACCAGTGAATTGGGCGTTCATCAGCAGCATGTGCAGTGGAGCCAGCTGGAAAACTTGTAATAACCTCTTTGGCTTGTCGCCATCGGCCATTTAAGCAGACAACTCCTGAAGCATCAGAGTGCGGCTGAGGTAAGGTCGTTCTCACGAGAAAAACTCCAACCTGCAACTTGCATGCACAACTTCACTCACAGACACGTTCAATAAACTGGTTCGCATTTCCCTTTAAGTAAATTTTTGAGTATATTGATACAAGACAATCATTATTTCAGTACTGTATTCAACACCTTTGGGGGGATTTTCCTCATGTAAAGTCAGTACAGTTGTGGAAACAGTGCTGCGGAATGTATGAAACACTTTTCATGCAGTACTACTTGTATAAACGCACGATTACTTTGATGGAAATGCAGTCTCTAGCCATGTTGGTTAACAACCATCGAAGGGCTAGTACGGCTTGGTTCTAGCTCACGTCCGATGATTATTTAGCAAGCTTGAGTTCATCCTGTGGAAAAAAGAAGCAGAGCGTTCATCTTTTAGTAGCAAAGGGAACACCACAGAAGCTCCTCGGAGAGCCCGAGTGATTATTCTGGTCTTTGTGAGGTCATTAAACTTCATTATCTGCTGGCAAGGCAACACCTCCACAGACAGCCCGGTCAAAGGGGTACTCCATTTTGTTTTCCTACAACAGTTTAATCATCTTGGAAAGTGACTGAATAGGAAGGGAAGCATGATAGACACATTACAATATGGCTGTCACAAATATTGCGACATATACTGGACAAAGCATGTGCCTTTAATATTGACATATTGTAATTTCCTAGACTAATTACAGTCAAATCTCGTTCAAATGATTTCCGATTTTAACCAGATGTGTCAAGTGTCCAGTTTAATACCGTAAGTTGAAATCAGTTATAAAACCTATGGTGTTAAAGATTGTAAAGGATAAAATCTGTTCAATATTTACGAACGCAAACCTTGAACTCTTAAGAATCATTCGCGTAGTCCCTACGCTGTAATCACGACTCAGAAAATACGGAATACATTTAATGCATCCACAAATGGTTTTGGGGTGGAAACTCATCCTCCGTTATTTACTGAAAATCTCGCCTATTCACTGTTGTGGGATCAAGCCAAAGCCATGTCTAAATTCAAATGTATTGCTTTGGCGCCGGGCGGCCCGCTGGTCCAGTGGTTAGCGTGTCGACCTCACAGTACAGAGGTCGTGAGTTCGATCCCGGCTCCAGCCTTCCTGTGTGGAGTTTGCATGTTCTCCCCGGGCCTGCGTGGGTTTTCTCTGGGTACACCGGTTTCCTCCCCCATTCCAAAAACATGCATGGCAGCTCTGATTGGACACTCTAAATTGTCCCTAGGTGTGAGTGTGGATGGTTGTTTGTCTCTGTGTGCCCTGCAATTGGCTGGCAACCGGTTCAGGGTGTCCCCCGCCTCCTGCTTGAAGACGGCTGGGATAGGCTCCAGCACGCCCTGCGACCCTTGTGAGGAAAAGCGGATCGGAAAATGGATGGATGGATGCTTTGGCGCCATCGTGGGGCCAAGGAATTGTTGAAGTGAGTGGAGGAGCTTCATTTTGTCAGGCTATATACCCTTGGCAAATTTGGAGAAAAATGCTTTGCATCTGTGGGATCGATTTACAGACAGCAGGGCTCCGTCCCGATCCCCTGCAAATTTTGGTGAAAATTAATCCAATGAAAAAGAGTTTCCATTCCAATATGGTCATTTCAACTTTGGCTGTTCTTATCACGTGTTGCGTTTTAAAAATCGGTTAAGATGTTAAAAATCAGTGTGTCTGATAAAAAAGTGCTAAAAAGTGGACAAGGTTGATTCGTCAGAAAGATTATTCGAGAGCTATTTTGCAGCAGTTGGCCTCCACTCAAAATAATTTCCAAGGTTACTCATCACTGACAAGTACATGGAAAAAAAACATTAAAATGTTTTTTAAATCTCTGTCTTGAGAGTTTCCAGCAATAGTCACACAACCTTGATTTATGGAAGATCATATATTCTATGATGAAAAACAACTCAACTCAACTCAAAACAGAACAAAAATAATGCCTCAATTGCTGACTTTTTTCCCCTGCCACTTTTTATTAGACGTTAAGATTCCAAACTTGACAGAAAAGATAAAATACAGAAATATTTCAAATTGAGCAGGATTACAACAGCTAACATACACACAGACACAGAAGGTTGGGTAGCTACTACAAAATGAAGTGAATGTTCTTACAAAGATAATGTTATTCAGTGTAAAAATATGAGAAACTCTTGCACTTTGAATGGTGCACGGAAGTTTTACACCACAGAAAACCAATAATAAAAAAGATTCAAATCATAATAATAGTAAAAAAAAACAAAAACATTTAAAATGAATGCCCTTCCGCTTTTTGAGAACAATGAAATTCAATTTTCAGTGACTACAGATGCCGTAACGCAGAACTCTGAATTTACAACCAGCATTGGCTGCATGTGTATGCTTTTTTTTTCCCAGCGCTAGTGGCATTTTGGGAACTGTCAGTAATCTTGGCCACAGGTGAGAAAGTGTCACGCGGCAGCCAGACTCATCTAGCTGAGTGACAAGTTGGGAGGCTGTATTGCGGTTCATCTTTGTCCCCAGAGGTGTCGAGTTGCACTTTGGTCGCTTCAGGAAACCAAATCTTTCACCCCAGTTTATCACAATCTTTATCAGTGAGTATAATCATGTAACAACCAGCATGGATGCATCTGTGTCTCAAAGTGTTTGACATGAAAACAAAACGATTGCGTTTTTTTAATGGTCAGAACTGACAGAATGACACTGGTGATTTTAATGACAGAAGCCACTGGTGATTATAGGGCTGAATTATTAGGCCAAACAACAAAGATAGTGTGTTTCCGGTAACATGAAATTTCAGCATAGGGTCGGTAGGTCGGACAAAGTTTTTTTTTTTAAATCTTTTTTTTTTTCCATCAAAAATTTAAACAAAGTAACCATAAAACATAAAACAAGAAGACATTGAACCCGCCGCTGCGCGGCCGGTGCCGCCGCCACCTATTTAGTTTTCTCCCCTCTCCGGACTCGGGGGGCTGGGGCGCGCCGCCGCCTCCGCCGCCGTCCTCCTCCGCCGTCCTCCTCCGCCCTCGGTTTTTACTCGGCCCGTGGTGTTCATCAAATAGTTCGCTGAATTTTTTTCGATACATCAATGGATGCTATTTTCTTAACATTACGGTGCGAGCATGCGAATGTAACACAGAAAAAACAGTTTAAACTGTCGTCAGAGATCACGGCCGCCGCCATGTTTCAATGTTGTTGACAGACGACAGGGCAAACGACGCACGCGCTCAACATGAATATCGCGAGAGTTTGCACTGATGTAAACCCTCTACACAAAAATGTAGAGTTTTTTTTGAAAAAAATGCTGACCGTAAAGTTTTTTTTCGACATAGAATTTGTCGGGTTACCGGAAACGCACTACTTTTTTTTCTACGCCTTAATTGCCCTTATCCTCAATATTGCAATTGAAACATATATATAAATCACAATTTTCATTGTCTTTTTACACCTTGGAAAAAAAAATGTCAAGTCCAACAGTCGTTCTCCATACAAGGCATATCAAGTGTTACAAATGTGTAGTTCAGTGGTTCTTAACCTGGGTTCGATGAACCCCAGGGGTTCGGTGAATCGGTCTCAGGGGTTCGACGGAGCCTCTGCCATGGAGATTAAGACACACCCGACTCAACATGTCAATTAGTTATGACACGCCCGCTTGGCCATCTCCGGCTGCAGATGATCACATTACGTTGCTTGTCCAATCAGTGCTGCGGGAAATTTAGTTCGCTCAGTAGTCACCGTGTGACCGGCGTGATAGTACGTTATACAATTTAAAAAAAATATACTTAGACCATGTAATTTTATTTACTTCTTTCTATATTTAATAAATGTGTTTTTTTTAATGTCTTGAATTTGTTAAAAAAAAAAATCTAATTTTTATTTTTCACTAACGAAGGGTTCGGTGAACGTGCATATGAACTGGTTGGGTTTGATACCTCCAACACGGTTAAGAACCACTGGTATAGTTGATTCGAACTTTTTAGATTTTGCTACTGAAGTCTGTATTCTGCTCATATTTAGTCATGCTGTATAACCTTCCCATGCCCACAGCGTAGCTTGGCGTCCTTGCAACAATCATCTCCTAGAATTGGAATACTCTTGTATGATTCCTCTCTTCTTAGTTAGATTTGATGGTTAAGGTGTTATTCCTCTCTGTTAGTTGTGTTTGTTCAGACACTTGAAAGAAACAATGTAGAATGCTGTTGAAGGTATTTCCTGCTCACTGTGTTTACAATCACCTTTAGTGCCCCTCGACCCCCATCACTTTTAGGGCCCCCCTCCACAGGACATGTTTAACATCAAAAGAGGAACTGTTATCTCAAGTATCTGTGTTCCTGCCATCACACCAAATGGTGGGTCGTGGTGGTCTGGTCTCACCTCACCACTCCCAACTTCTTCCAGCCACACCAGGCTTCCTGATTGAGATCTGGACCCCTCAGGAGCCCGAATCGATTCGTAAACTGCAGAAAATAAATTAAACCCTTCGAAGGAACTGTTCATCGACTCCAGCCTTTATTTGAAGAACCAACGTTCTCCTCGTCCGAAATTCAACGAACGCGTGGGGAAAGAGAAGGCCGCTCTTCCCCCAACACTACATAGCAGAGTCCTTTCAAAGGGTGCACTTCCTCAAAACGGTACAAAAAGTGCAAGGATATGATGAATGATTATAATTATCAATAATAATAATAAAAGAGGGTGAAAAAAGGAGCAATCATGTGTAATAACTTAAAATAATATCGGTACAGCATTTCTTTTCAACTTCCTCAATCAGAAAACTGAATTTTGTGACTTCTCAGGCAACTTCCGTTGAGTTTCCTTTGGGTCCGATGGAGCCAAACATCAGTGTAGCAGCCGTCTTAGGAGTCCCTGAGATCTTACAATCTTCCCAACACATTTTCACATCATCTCATTTTTTTATTTCTCTTCGCAGTCAACGTATACTCTCTCACTTGCCAAGAAGCTGCCCTAAGCTGCTGAAGAGGTGCGGCTTTGCTCCACGGTGTTGAAGACGAGACAGACGCCGGCAGTGAGCAGCAGGTGCATGGCCTCATAGAGTAATTTGGGAGAGAAAACGCTCCATATGAAGAGATGGTAGCGCAGGACAGTCACCAGAACAATGTAGGCTGCCGCCGGCACCGACCTGAGCAGAGCCAAACAGTAACAGCCGTGGCCCATTGCGACGGGACTCCTGCGGAGCAAAATGCATTATCAGACGAGGGAACGCTGAAGTCAACAGGATGAAAATGGCAACGTAACCGCAAGTTACTGTTCTGGAAACTTACCATTTGTCTCTCAAGACTTGGTGACACAGCATGTGGCCCATTGCCCAAGTTTAGTCTTAAGCTCGAATCCAAGGACAACGGCACCTTGCCTGACTAGTTTAATTTTTAATTGAATTCATTGTACTCATTATGTTGCCTCGAGGGCATATTCAAACTCACACTTAGCCGTAACAATATGTTCAATTGATATCTACACGGCAGTGTGAAAAGTGAATGTGATTAAAGTTTTTAGGGAAGAAATTGGACACCAATTCTATTGCGCAAGTGGTGATAATGTTGCTTGTCGGTCGACACGAAATGTGTAATTCCTGGGCTAATGGCATATAAAAGGACTTGATGCTGACCTGTATGCATCAATCTGGATCTGGTCCAGCAAAATATAACCTTTATTTGCTATGTCCTGTGTGTAGTCACGCAATAATACATTACCACTCATATTTTGATTTTGAAAGACCACATGTTCATTTTAGTGCATTAGTTTTACTGATCAGCATTGAAACAGTTGGTACGTAAAAACCCATCGTGGCTAAACAAAAATTAATTGCTAAAAAAAAAAAAAAAAAAAAAAAAGTATGACGATCCACACTCGTCATACATAGCAAAACCCTTATTTGTCTAGAATGCCAATCACCCACCAAAAACTTTGTATATGGTCATTATGTCATTACAACTCTCTCTCTCTCTGTGTCACCTCCTGTCTCTTCTTTTTTTTATCTCTCCTTCCTCATGCAGTCTTTTTCTACCCTGGCACAGCCTCCCTTGACTGACTTGGGCCTGCCGCATTGTCATTAGGAATTGCATACATGCAAATAAAAAAATAATAAAACAGTACCGTTACTTATTTCAGTCTGTGAGGATTCTCAATCTTTTCATATTGTGAGACTAGCCACTATAAATTACAAAACAAAACCTGCCACATCTCATCAACAGGCATAGCATATTATAGCCTGTTGAACATTGTTTCTTGGGGTTAAAAAAATATGTAGTGATTCTATAACAGGCTCAGCACTGCAAACATTTTCATAGTTACAAATATCTTGGACCAAAAGTGATTATGATGTTTATCAGCCTACCGGCCAGAAGCAAAAACGCACGAGAGTGATTAAAAAAAGACGATTAATCAGTCTTCTTGCTTGAGACAATGTGCACTGGTGTGCAAACGAGGAGATTTGATCAGGCAGAAGTCCCAGGTAAGGAGGAGGGAACTTCGAGCAGATTCCAAAGAGGGGGAGGGAAGAAATGCAGATGAAGTAGGAGACATGGGAAGGAGTCCAGTTTGGAGGGAGAAATTTCAACAGAAAGCCAGTAAAAATGTGTTACGATTATATGGATGTTATTTGGCTGCCATTTATATTTCTGATCTGCGGTCTCATCAACTACAACGGGCAAGTGCATAAATTCAAAGTATTTGAGATTTTATTTTTGGACTTATCTTGAGTGTTTACTGTGTAGCTATGTATTATTTTCTCTCGAGAAACTTACCATATTTTTTGGACTACAAGTCGCACTGTTTTTCATCATTTGGCTGGATTTCTACTCAGGTGCGACATAGTTCGTACTGGCCCCCGAAATCCCATTCCCTAATCACGTTAACTTTTTTTGGAGGTAGGCAAACTATGAAAGTGTATTATCACCGGTGGCCCGAAGATGGTGGCAATGCAATACAAGTATTTGCCGACTCCCAAAATAAAGTAGAAGTAGCAAAAGCAGTAGAAAAAGAAGTAGAAGAAGACTTGGCTTCTACCTTAGGCCACAATGCGATGTGGGATTCTAGTTAAGGGAAGCCATTTTAAATGAAAAAGAAAAGCTTTCCTGGAGTTAGAAGCCGAAGTTTTGTCCATCCATAACTCGTTTGTTCCCGTCAACACGGGGTGTGTTCGGAAATTCACGCTGTTGCTCTGACCTCACACCATCTGTGTGTGTGTGTGTGTGTGTGTGTGTGTGTGTGTCTGTGTGTGTTCAGAGAGAGCTCCCTTCCTACTAATTTCCCAAACGTAGCCTATGTTATAAACTAATTATCAGCTTGTGCTTGAACTGTTTCCATCTGTACTGCCCGATGCGCTGAGCTCTGGCACTCCTTTTTTGGGGCACTCTGGATAACGGAACGGCACATAAGAGCAACGCTTCGAATTTTTGAATGGTTGAAGTGAAGCAGTGCGTGCTTGGAGCATATTTCAAACAAACCCGCGATAAGGGAAGAGGGATTTTCGCTGTCATTATCAAATGTTTTTAGAAGCAATTTTTCTATCGCTTATTCAATGTATTGATCGAATAATGTGATGAAACTTTATGTTGCATTAAATTGCATTACAAATCATATCAGTGCTTCCCGATAATTACTCCTCGTCCTCCTTTTGGGATTACGGCGCTTGCCAGAAGTGTAGTTTATTCACCGCCATGGAGGTGATTATTAGTGATTTAGAGCAGCGGCTGCAAAATGTGTTTAGCCATGAGAGGTAGCCAGTCATAGCAAAAAGCTAGAGAGAATGGTTCATGTTAGTGGAGGGCTAAGCGTTGCACATTAGTACTTGGACAGGGAATTCTTGCACGGGTTTTGTGATTCCTTAAAAATCATTTTAGAGGTACAAGATGGGGCCAGAGGGGGAACATTTTTTTTCACAGATCATTTTACTCATGTTATACTGTCAAGTCAGACTGACTGGTATGCCTTTCTGTATAAGGAAAGTTAGACATTTATATGCCTTGACAATCTAACAAGGGCGGATTATGTCCTGCATTGTGAATAGTTAACGAGCTACATTGAAAGTCACACATAGCTGCAAGCGGCATCGTGAAACAGGCATACAGCGGGTGCAGCATTCATTAGAGGCCGCAACATGAAAGCGATGGGCCGACTAAACAACATCCTAACGACTCACCAGGGAGAGCCACAAAGCGTGTGGTGAGGAGGCTTTAACGCAGCCGCTTGGCAAATCAATTGTGCTGTTAGACGAAATGTAATTTAGGCTCTGCTTGCCCGGTTGTACAGACGCCCAGTGAAACAGATCAATGTGAGAGCGCTGCGTTTGAATTTATTTAATTATGCCTTGTGAGATTCTCTCGTGCTTCCCCAAATTAATTAGTAAAAGCAAGGCTAGGCTGATGTGCGCAAGCTTTCATCCCTTCATGATTTAACATTTGGGTTTCTGGCAATAGATACGTGGTCGGGGATGACACCGTGGTGACAGTTTTCACAGCATTATTTTCAATGTGGAACAAAAATTCTAATTATTATTCATTCATTTTAATAAGTCTTGAATACATGTTTTAGGGGAGTGGTTGATGGAGGCGGGGGAGGGAGAGGTTGTTGGGATTACGGCGGGATCCTTTCGTCGTCCTCTGCGTGTTCGTTTGAATTCGGGCTGAGGTGAGGTGTGAAATCAGAGGCTGGAAATGGAGAAGTTCTTGCAAGAAGCTTTATCTGAACGTTCAGGGCACAAGTGCGATACAAGCAATCGTTGTGGTTAAGGCACAAATGCGCTCAGGCAACATCTCTAGACAAATCTTATATATCCTAAGCAGGGCGTCACTCCTAATGGATATCTCCCTTTCGGTTTCTGGATGACCGCTCTAATGTTCTTGGCTTTTTATCATTTCTTAATGGAATCATCAAATACTTTTATTTTCGAAAGACATAAAACATAGTGGCAGTGCTTTTATTGTTTATTGGAACATTTTAGCTTTTTCAAGAAGCCGTCTTAACGCTGGCCTCCACGAAAACCATATTTGTTTGCAGGGCCTTTGCTTTTGGTTGGACCGAGGCTGCAAGCTTGAAACCCCAAGCCAGTCAAGAGATGCACTTAGTGTTGTCTGGTCTATGTCTGCAAAAGGTATTAACACTATTTTCCGTTGCTAAGGCAGTTCAAGTCAAGGTCATATCATAAAGTTCAAGTGGAGGTCACATTTCAAAGTTCAGAGCAAGGTCACACTGTAGTAAAAGTCTGTCTGTCCGCAATGAGTAGTTTAAGCTAAACATGCAAATAGATAAATGTTGGCTTCATGGTTGTTGAAATGTTTTTTTTTTCTTGTTCAAGGGCCGCCTCAAAAATACTTGGCTCTCCAAGTAACACCATAATAACCAACATTAAAATAGAGTAGCATAGCGGGCCAAAGTGTTCATCAAAACTGAGGCAGCAGTTCTTTCCCAAAAAGTAGATTCAATAATATCGTAAGACCCTGTCATCTAATGCAGGGGCCCCCAACCTTTTTTTGCCCCACGGCCCGATTTATGTCAGACAATATTTTCAGGGACCGGCATTTAAAGTGTGGCGGAAATAATACAACGAAATAATATGGTATGAGCTGCATGAAAACTGTGGCGTTTTCGAAATATAATAAACCATACATGGCAATTTTCCGCGGATTCGCGGAAATCCGCCGTTTTATTTCTTAAATTGATCATTTTTGTGAATCGTCTAAATCCGTTGAGAAAATTTTAGGGGCCGTCAGGTACCTTATCGTCGAGTTTTCACGAGCTCTCCCGAACAGTCTCTCCGTTTTCCGTTTGTAAACAGCCCTGCGATTGGACGTGTATGAAAGCTTCAACTAATCAGATCACTGAAGGCATTATTTGTTGCGGAAGTCTTAGCTCGATTATAAACGGCCCAGCGATTGGTTAACTACAAGCGATTGGACCAATCAAATTGCATGTAACATATTGTTTTACCTGATTCATGGCGGCCTGTTCGTCTCGCAAATTCATTGTTCTGGGATCGTTTTGAGCGGAATTATGAAATTTTTGACGAAAGATCAGGAGTCTTTAATCCTAGAAATTGACTCAAATGTCAAGAATAAATTCCGATTGGACTGGCTTGACAGAAAAGTCACTGTAAAGGTTAAAATTGGTTCCAAGTTCGACGAAGTTACAGAAGCTCTTGGACAATTTTTGAAGAAACCAGACGTAGCAGGCAAAGCTTATTGTGTGTATTGTAGTGACTTAATTAACTATGGCTCCCGTGGAGCAACGAAATCTGCTCCACTGATGCCCTTCGCCGATAGACAGGTACACTCCGAGGTATATACTTTTTTATTCAAATATACGAGGATGATATTTTCAATTTTATTTGGTATGCATTTGTAGCAACAGCATGATAACATTTATTTGTTTTTATTTGCGTTTTATATTCATATTGATAATTCACGTTTTGTCTTGGATAATAAAGCACGGTTATGCATAATAAATTGTATGCATAATAAATATTCACTATCACTGTATGAGGTAAGAATCAACAGCTTTTTATCACATTTACACAACACTTTATGAATACAAGTCATGAACAAATCTTAAATATGGCAGGGAATGTGTTTACTTTTTTAGTTTTGATTTTGAGCAACAAATTTGGAGTTACATCTTGGTGCTCACCAGGAATGCATAGGCAAAATTGCACAAATTTTCACTTGAAAGAATAGTGGCGATCTTGGGA